CCAGGTTTCAACAACTTTATCTGATTGCTTAGTTATTCAAAAGGGACATACAGTGACTGAACAGAGTTTCCAGAATAAATATTAATTTATTTTTTTTTAATTTTACAACTCCCCAAATTTCTGAAGCTTATCTAAGTCAAAAGATTAGGTATCAGTATTACAGGCTGAGTAGCAGCTGCATAAATTCAAGATTCTAACACACATGAATTGATGTATGATGGCTAAATTTTACTGTGGGTATAGGATGGCTGGGTGTTAACAACAGTTAGGAGAGGATGATTATAAATTCTAGAAAATCTGATTTGAAAAAGAGGACCAAATGTAAATTTTCCTGAATTAGAAAATAATAAGGGCATTTAAACATTACTAGTTATCTTTCCAACGTTAAGAGATTACAAACTTGAGATGCGGCACGGTGCTTCAGCTGCACATTTTTTCCTGATGTTGGAGCTAATCTTTCCTTTGTTAATCTGATCTGATAAGGATTAAATGAAGAATTAAAAATTATAACATTACAATTTTCACATCAGAACTAATCAGAAACATTTTTTACAAATCTGCTTCAAATAGCATAAAAGTATCTTCTATCAATATCCTGAAAACCAACCCAGCTTTCACTCTTGTAGAAGAAATTTCACTATTCCTTGCATGATAGAATTGTGATCCAATGGCAACTGTGTTTGTAGGAAAATAAAGGAAGTCCATCTTTCCTGGAGGTTTATTTTAATGAACTAACTTCAATTGAGCAGGACAGATTTTCTTCATATACAAACAATGTAAAAAATATTCCAGTTGGAAGTAGTCTCCATCTGACATAACTCTTCCTATAAAGTCTCTATAAATGTAAATCAGATTAATGTCAAAAGTCCAAGTTACAGTGTCGGGTTTTAAAAGATGGGCTTCCTGTTCCTCCCAGTTACATAGTTAACACTACATTTTTCACACTCATTTTAATTAAGAGTTGTGATTTATACCACAACAGACATCTGAGTCCTTGAACACCTCAATATATCGGCTCAGGCTAAGCTTCAGAAAAGCCAAAGGAATACAGAGTAGAAGAGAAAAAGACAATGAACAGGCAAGTATCAACACCTTAATGTCAGCTGAAAACATTTCTCCAATGCTAATGAAGGCTGTGCACGTACTTCCAGCCACAGACTTCACAGACCTTCAACATATAAAATGAGAATCTCTAAAAAACCCCTTTCTCTCCCTCTCTCTAGCAAGCTGCATGGCAGCCCAACCCTGTCATAAATCTGCTAGAGCAAGTCGTGCATCCATCTTCCCAACACGCCTCTCGTTTTTTGAGTTGGCAATTGGTGACATGATACAGCCTACCATGTGGGTCAAGCCAAAGAGAGAACATTACACAATGGCTCTGCAAACTATGACAACTCCTTATTCAATCCTGAATACGCTATAATTTTCTACAACGGATTTGTTCCTAACAGGGTAAGGGTCATAGAAGCCAAACACTGCCACCTTGTCCTTTGCCTCATGAGGTGACTTCTGCATGAGGTGCCACCAAAGTCAAACCTTAGGCTGGAAGAAAATCAGCCCCTTCTGCGACCCTCCATAAGCTCTGCACGTCACAGAAGAAAATGGTTGGGAGACAATCCAGTTCCCACAATTTTTAGGTAACAAGACAACGCTTGTGTTTTGCCAAAGCTTCCCAAAAGCAGAAGAAAATCAGCAGCATTAGTTAAGTTTGCAGCTGCTACTGAACTAAAGACTTGGCTGGAATATCAGATGCAGCTAAAAGGCAGATTTTAATGTTCTGAATACGCTATGCATGCTACAGCTCTGTTATTACAGCTATTGCTGTAGAAATGCTGGATAATACACGGTGACAGAAATGAGACGTCCCGAATACACTCCTGGAGATCAAGTCCCCCTCTTGCTTTTGCTCCCCTAAGCAATGCTCAGCCACCGTTCCTGATGCAAGCAGAGGAGGCCTTAGACTCAATGCTCCCCTCATCCCTGGATCCTGTCCTTTCCAAAGTTTTGAAACTTGGTTCTCCTAAATACTTCGAAAATCTTCAACCAATCTACACCACCCCTTCTGAAAACAGGTTTCCTATCACAATTACAGCACCCACCGGCAATCCCATTTCAATCCCTCCTCACTAGTAGTACATAAAAAAGATACATACCCAGGAACCCCCTGCTACATGCGCTTACTAATTTATCTGAGCGGATGTTGTGGTCCCTGTGACCGGACCTCCGTCCCCTGCCAGCGCTGCGCCACCCCGCGGGGCGTCCACCATTAGCCGCGGGCCCAACGGTCACATACCCGCCTCCGCTTTACAGGGGCCCGGGCCAATCGGAAGGAGGCGCGCGGCGCGGGGGCCCGCTGCCACCGCGGGGCCGGGAGCCCGGGCCGAGGTCTGCGCTGTCGGGTGGTGCCGGCGGGGCTG